GCCAGAGAGGGGGAGCTGGGTCATGGGCAGGAGTGCAGAGTGGGCAGAGAAAATGAAGAGAAAGCGAGAGGTGTGGGGACAGGGCCCTGGACACAGCTGACTGCAGAGGTTGTCCTGTCTGAGCCCCTGCGAGAAGATGTGCTGAGACCCAGACAGGAAAAAGGCTCGTTCTGCAGAATTTGCAAGTAGCCCTGTCTGAGGCTGGCAGGTGCATTAGTAAGAAGAACCAGAGGCTAAGAGCCCGAGCCTGAGGCAAGGGTGATGGACAGTGGGAGGGCGATAAGGGGCAGCCCCTGAAAGGCATCGCTTTAATGCTTTAAAGCGGTGCCAAGCTGAGTAACCTGAGACTGATGTGCGACTGGCTTCCATGAGTGCAGGTGTCACCCCGCAGTCCCCTCACTGTGCAGGAAGGTTAAGCTGGGCACTTCAGGTGTCTGCTCTGCTGGAATGCTCGGGGCAGGGCCCGGCCGCGCTACTCACCGAGGAGGGAGGTGGCGAGCGTGGTCCTCTCAGCTCACCTAACCATGCTGGTTTGGAAAATGTAGACCAATGAACATTATCGGAAACTTTGGAGAGGGAAGAAACCACAGAAGGGATGGCTGGAAGCCTGGGTTGGAAGAGGTGGAAAAGGGTATCCCATGTATCCTGCCACTGATCTTGACCTTGCGTCTTCCCGGACTGGCCCCTTCCTGCGTCGTTGTGCAGCTGGCACCTGTGAGGGCACCTTAGGAAGCCAGCTGTGCTCACCTCTTTGTATCCAGACTGGTTATAGCAAAGGGAAAAATCATGAAGCCCAACCAGTGGTGAGACTGAGTATCAAATTTATCATGTAGGTGAGAGATTATAATCTCAAAGAAGTTATCAAGACAGATTACCAACAGAGTAGTTCAATTTTCCAGGGGATGGCTTAAAAATTAAAAAAAAATTAAAAACTGGTGAAAAATTTTATTATTATTATTTTTTCTGGCTTTGAAACTGATTTGCTGTAAAACTGAAGGTTGGCAAACTGAACCTACTTGATTTTTAGGTGCTTGTGTTTAAGTATTCAGATCATGGCCTCTGTAAAACCTTTAAATAGGGAAATCCAAACATCATTCATTCATTTAAGAAACGTTTATTGAATGCTTAATGCATGTCAAGGGCTAGGGATGATGCAAATAAGAGGTGGTACCTGCTTTTTCATATATATGCTTTCCCATACAAACTATGTTCCCAGAAAGGATTTTGTGAATTGCAGAATTTAAAAACCTTCAAATAGGGAAATCCAAATATCATTCATTCATTTAACAAAATATCCCTGAGGTTTGGAGAGTTGAGCTAACCTATAGAAAGGTTGCAAGAATAATAGAAAATAACATCTGCATAGCACTTACTCAGATTCCTTATGGTCTTATATCCCTAAATATTTTTCAGTGTGTGTTACCTAAGAATGTCTCCATTTCTTAGCCTTTGGAAAGTATAGATTGCTATATAAAATTAAAGGATGTCAGGCCCATAAATTAGGAAAAATCTAATTATGTAAAACTTCAGAGGACTTACAAGTTACTGCAGTAGATTGCAAGCTAAGAAAGTCCATTGTCTTGTGCATTGCAAACTAAGAAAGTCCTTTGTCCTAACAAGATTAGAGCTACTCAAGAGTCCCTATGAGTGAGAAAGACAAGGAAGATGCTCTCGGACTCTGTGTCATACCTTTTGGGTTATGCTTCTCCTGCCAGGATTTGCATCTTTTTTGTGCTGTTTTTTACTTTAACAATTTGCTGCTTCACGTGGTGTTTTGGGTGGAGATTGTGAGCTTGTTGGAGAAAAGGTTATAGAAACCGAAGGGCAGTTGCTACTCCGTGGCAGAACAATAGCGCTGTGAAGATTTAGTAAGAGCTCAGCTTTGTTTCTTCTGATCCTCTCTTTGAGTAGTGAAAGTGTCCTGCTTTATTTTCATTACAGACCACAACCGAGATGCAAATAGGAAACAGGAGAGCGTGTGTTGCGAAGTATTCAGTGCAGAGGCTTAACTGAAAATAATATGAACAAAGTGTTCTTATGAACCAAAGACATAATTATTCACGGAATCTCCTTTTTCAGCGTTCACTGAAATAAGTTTAGCTACACGACAAACAGATAATAATTCTGCCACATTAGCTTCACATTCTCAACAGAATCCTTCTCTTTCATCAGAAGATGTGATACTGTTAGGCCTGATTTTGTTCTAATTCTAACCAGATTGGCAATCATACTCTCCAGTGGATTGAAACATGACCAATAACTTTAAAACATGGATGAAAACTCCTGTTTTCCCTGTGACATATTTCTTTCATTGCTCTGACCATCATAATGGCTTCATTTAGATACTTACAACAACAGCAACAAAGGAAATCTAGGGCATGTTTTAAAAATAAAACTGTTCTTCAAAGAGTCAAAACCATATTTAAGTAGTCTAAATTAATCTTTTATTTTGAAATATTAAATTTGTTATTTTTTATGGTGCAAAATGAAAAATGTAAATTAATGGCCATGAAATATATTTATAATCCAATAATGATTGATTTTACTTCCTTGACAAATAAATCCGTTTTAAACATACATTATATAGATACATAATGACATATACACTCATGTAATTTATTAAGCTACAAAGAATATTACTCTTGTACTTCTCTTTGGAAAATTCCAGTCCTTGAGAAAGTATTTCAAGTGTTTCTCAATGAGGTGATATTACTGAGAAACAGCTGAGCTGCTCTAACAGAAAAGGTTTCCCTAATATTGGGAAGATGTGATGTATTTTGAATCACTTGAAGTATGGGGCAGGGAAGTTGGAGTTATAAGATATGAGTTGTAACACTGATGACTCCACTCACTAGCTCTTTAGACTCAGGCTCCTCACTTAAGATATAGTTTTCTGGTGTGCAGAAGTGTCGTATGAATAATAGTTAACATTGTCATCAAAATCTGGGTAGCATTCTTTTGGCATGGGTTAAAAAAAAAGTGCCTTATAAAGAAGGCGCTCTGTCATAAAGCTACATACTTTCAGACCATCCATAGCAACATAGGTATTTGTGCTAGGATGGATTTTCTGCAAGAAACCTATGTGAACAATAAATGCTTTTTTCTGGTATTTGTTTCAATCCCAAGAATTCACTGTAGTACCTAATTATTCATCCTAGCACTCAGCAAGAGGGTCCACAGTCACAAAGAGAGCTGAGTTCATACTTGTTAGGTCCTAAGTACAAGTGACACCTGAACTCCCTTTAGTCCTGGAAGAATTTCACTGATTTGCACTTATTGTTATTATTTTTTTATAAAGTCTAGCTTGTAGAACTCTCTCTGGCGAGAATGAGTTTTGTGATTTTAGGCAGGTCTCTGAACAACCTCCTCCCAGGCCTCAGTTTTCTGAGATGTAAAAAAAAGGGATTTTACTTACATGATCTCTTGGGTAGGCCTCTAACATTATGTGTTTCTATGGTATCTTACATGCCTTTTCTGAAAAATCATCCCTAATTCTAAATTATTTAAGAAAACTATGAAATAAGATCCAGTAGCTTTGGCAGGATGTGTGATAATTTCCTTTTCTTCTGGGTAAGTTAAAGCCTCTCATCCCATTGGCTAATTGTCCTACAAATGAGGATGTGAGTCTTAGCCAAAATAAACTTTAATGGCATTTAATGGCATTTAATGTTTACTATGCAGTGAATATATTCTTTCAGGTAGGACAGGTCTATAATCTGGCACTATATCTGAAATCCTGGTTTAGCCATAATTTTATAGGTCCTTAAAAACACGATTGTCACAATCTCCTCTCAAGAGAAATGAATTGATAACATAGGATCCTGAGTGGCTGGCATGTGAGTGACACCCAGCTATAGCATTTCACATCTAATCAAGGCAAGTGGGAATTCTAGTGGGCTTATTGTCTGTCTGAATCTGTTTGAATCCAGCTGGCTCAAATTCAGCCCCAGAGAGCAATGTGGATAGAAGATGGAAGAAAAAAAAAATTTAAGCCAGAGAACCAGTGTATGAGATAGTGCCTTCTACATTGTCAAAAGAAGTGCCTGGTGAGCAGTGGATTAGTTGCTGATTGGTTTCCTAAAATTTCTCAATGACTAAAACGCAACTTTCTATCCCAGTGGCCTTTAAAAATCTATGAAGAATGGCAATATATGCAAAATTGTACCTAGTTAAGAGCTAAAATTATATAACAAGATTTTAAGTGGTGGGAGAGCACCTATGAGAAGGAAATTAGTGATGGTTGGAATTGTTAGGAAAACAAAGTTCCATGGAGGTAATGAGATTTGGACATTCAGAACCATGATGGGAGGGCAGCCCAGCCCTTTTAGAAATCAGTGTGAGCAAATGCTTAGTAGTGTAAGTGAGTGATGTCAAGTCAGGAGATGCTGGACCAGCTTAGTCAAGCACAGACAGAAAGTGTAGAGGGGAGGCGGGGTGGTTATAGTGGAAGAGATTACTCAGGTTCTTAAATGCTAGTATTTTATTTAGACTGGGTGCTGCAGGCAATTGGGAGACAGCTATTTTAGAGCAGTAGAATGACAGGATGCGGCAATGCTAAGGGAAGGTGAGTTTAACAGTGGTATGTGAGAAAGAGATAAAGTATAAAGCTCAGTTTAGAAGCATGAGTGATGCAGAATTGGATTCAAGTCCTTCCCCTCCCCACACCATGCTTCTTAGTCTCGAGGGGATGCCGTATTTCTCTAGGCTTGTCTTAAGGAAAGAACAGAGTTCCCAAGTGGAAGAGAATCTAGATGGAGGGAGCGGCAAAACAAAGGCAGAGAGGTTGGTGGGGGCCATATTCCCTAAAGGTGAACTGATCTGCTCAATATCACACTCTTAATGGTAACCAAGTTCTAGATCCCAGGTTTCCAACGTTTTTTCCACTGTGCCACCCTGCGTCTTTTCCCTAACTATAACATGACTCCCATTATTCAGCAAATTTTCGTTCACTGCTAGTAACATTTTAATTTACAGTTTGTCCAGCATGAAATATGATTTACCTGAAGCCAATGAGGTGTCCAGTGGGTGTCCTAAGCTTCCGAAGGGATAGTGACAGGAACACCTCCAGTTCCACCTCTGAGACAGCTGTGGGGGTGGACCAGAATGGCACATCAATGGATGGCTGTTTTTGGAGCAAAATAGCTAGAGAATAAGAATTACTATACATGAAGCATATAGTTCATTTTCTCTGTTTTTTTCTTTTTTATCCCTATGCTTGTGTCAAAAGAGTGACTCTCTGAAAGAACATGTTTTGACTGCATCAGTAATCTTTTTCCGCCTCTTCCTCTCCACTTATTTATTTTTCTTTTCTTACAAGGACCACGCTTCTCCAATTCAAGAAGTACCTATGAGATGGGTCTAGACGGTTGGCCATGTATGAGTAGAATCCAGAATTTAAATCTAAATTTAGACAGTCTGAAATTAAGCAGTTTAGGAATATCAGCTCATGGTCCACATCCTAATCTCCACTCGAGCACATTAGGCTGTTTGACCTAAGTAGGTACCAGATGAAGAGATCTGACCTAATACTAAACTCAGCACTAAGCCCAACTTTTGTGCTTGCTGCAAACGATGTTCTTTGCTCTAACTTGTGTATATCTTTCCCCCTTGGTTTCTTGAACTGAATGTTCCAAGAATTACCAATTTAGTCATTAGCCATTAATAGCTTCCAAATATAAACTGGCACACGCCAATTAGACCCTCATGGGTGGCAACCCTGAATGAGAAATAGATTTCAGGTAATGATACTTAGGCTGGCATCTCTCCCATAGGAACCAGGGAGCATGGTTCAGAAAACTCAGTTGAGTAAAACAAATCAGGCCAGAGTCTTCATTAAGAACTTGAACAGAACCCAAGTCTCTTTTGAGGAACCAAAATAGTCAAGTCTCCACAGGTCAATGCTATTCCCACAGACTCTTAGAAGTAAGACTACATTTGAATTCTAAATCTTGCTGAGTCAAGCAGTATATTCTTTCAATCATGCTGCCCCCCAACATCTAGTGCAAGAGTTTGAAATGTCAAATACAATCTTTGACTTCTAATAAAATTGTATAATGAGAGGAGTAAAAAATGGCTTTCCCATATTGAAGAGGATCTTAAAATGAAGTGTGGCTGAAAGAAGTAAAAGACTAGGGCCAAGCAAGAGGGAACAGAAAGAAAAGCAGGGGTGTAGGGAAAGCTTGTTCAACCCTCAAAATTAGAAATGATTTCTGTGGTGCGTGAAGAAGGGAGTGCCTGTATCATTTGTAAAATAAGTTATTCATATATCCTGCAAATGGATGCCAACTTCTTATAAGCTGAAGGGTTATGAGCAGAAGCAACTTAAATATTTCATCTCTTCTTGCCCCTAGACTCTCTTTAAATTATATGTCCCTCTCTACCACCAACATTTTCTTAGTTGAAAGAAGAGAATGATAGGTATTTAGTGGAAGTACTTTGCTGTTCTGACTTGAAAATTCATTGCTTCCCCAAAGTTTAAAAACACTAGAATTATTTAGTCAGCCATTTTCTTAATCTGAGAAAAGATCTTTTTTTTTTTTTAAATCTAAGGAGGAATATGTCATTAAAAAATCACAGTTGTGTATTCTAATGTCCATTGGTGATCAGAAAATTAGATTTTACCTGCTTAAATTATATTATTAAACATTTATATATACATATGTTTACCATATTTGTATTATAAATTTATCCCAAGCATAGCTATTAATTTACAGATAACATATAAACATCTGTTCCATAAAGACTACTGTCACTTTGGAAATTTATGGTGTTGTAAAATGAAATTCTGCACCCGTTTTCCTTAGGCGTTGTCACCATTCCTGTTTCCTGGGTTCGATACTTCAATGTCCATATGTCACTTGTCTTCCTTTTTCCTCTATTTGACCCATCACCAAGTTGTTGATATTTTTTTTTTATTTCTTCATTATATTTCTTACATCCATCCTTTCCTCATTCTCAGTGTCATCAATGAGATTAGGCAACTTTTTTTTTAGCTTTAAAATTTTTTTGATGCCCTCCCAATTGTGTCTATGTCTATGTCAATGCCTATGTCTACGTCTATGTCTATGTCTACCTCTCTCTGTTCCTGAAAATGCTAGTGCTTAAACCTCCTAAGGCACCCACTGTTTCAGAACACTCTAGAATCTGACCTAACTTAGCTATGACAGGACATGCATAAAGTAGGAAATGACACAAAGTAGAGGTGCCAGAGTGATACCGTTTAGTAGCCTAGTTATTGATAACAAGAAAGGAACAAAGGGAAGGCCAAATATTGTGGGTATGTCATTTGGACAGCTTTGCCCAGAACCTGCACCTTTACACTCCTTAGGGGTCCAATGGAGGGGATATGGACTCATGCCCAGTAAAGCTGGGGTGACTTTGGAAAGGTGATTCCTGTCAGTCACACCTGGGAATGGGTCATTGGCCAGAGTGGGTGTGATCACTGCGGGGTTGTGAAATTGGGATACTTAATTCCCTGAACAAAGGCACTCTCTCTCTCCTGCTCTTTGGCTGCTCTTGGGCTCTCTCTTGGTTTTCTTGGGGCTCCTGTTGCAGGGGGCAAGCTCTCTTGGCTCCCCTGCATTCGCCCTCAAGGCCCACAGCCACGTGCACCCCACATACAATGGACTAAAGGACTGCAGTTAGCCTGATGCTGAACTGGACTTGCTTGCAACATGGAGCAGAATCCCTGGACACTGGCTTTGCTTTTAGCTCTACAAAATCCCCAGCTACACTTCTTCCAGGACTGGAGTGAGGGAAATGGGGCTTTAGAAACGCAAAGATGTAATTCCCCGCAAATAAAAATCACTCCTTCTCCCGTGCGAGGCTCAGAAAATTCCCTGTCTGGAGACATGGGAAGAACTCTGCCCCCAGCACCAGGGGGGAAAGGGATCCCTTGGCTCACGGATAACAGGAGGCCCATGCTCCTTCTCCCTCTCCCTTGTCCTCCGTCGCTCCTTTCTCCCAACCCTCCTGCTCTCCGTGCCCTTCTCTTTGCCCAGTGCCTCCCTCCATTGTGTTCCCAAACCGCATCTCTGCCAAGCCTCTGATTAAAAAATACCGGGTCTCAAAAAATGCCATATTCGGTTAACTCCAAGCCCTAGCCCAAGCCATTCTTTTCACGTGGGAAAAAATACAGCTATTTGAGCATTGACTGTGGTCTATGCTCTGTGCTAAGCATCTTATTTTTATTACCTTATTTACCTTTATAGCAGCTTTTTGTGATAACCATCGTATAGAGAAGGAAACAGTGAAAAAGATGATAAATAAATTGTCCCCATGCAGTTTATAGGTGGAGATGAACCACTGCTCTGGTTCATTGAGCAAGGTGTTGCCCAGCTCAGGTTCCAGCTTCTCCAATAGGGGGCTCTGTTGGCATCCCTTTTGTTTAATGAGTACTAATAATAGATATTTAACCACAAAATTCTTTTCATAATTACTAAGAATTGTCCTGTGTTCATGTCTTCCCCTCACAGCTAAACTAGATACACCTTCAGAGCCAACAGGGTGTCCTGTACTATTTTGTATTACTCTCTGCACTAGGACAGAAATACCTACACAGGAAGTGCTCGAATCCATTTGGGATAAATGCATTAACACATTGATGGAGTTTTCTTAAGCTTGTCCCTTTTGGCCCTGATTCTATTTAGAAGGCACATTATTCCTTAGGGCATCAACTCAACTGCTAAAAAGTAATTTAAGCTGTTTGATAGAGTATATTCCCCCAAGTCTCTTTAACTAAATATAGATGTCACATATGAAAAGGAAGGCGATAACACATGTGAAGCCTCTAGGTGTCTCAAATAAAAAATATTACGCATCCTGTGCTTTTTTTCATCTGCTGTATGCAGAACACTTTCCTTTCTTCTAGCAGCATGAAGCTCTCAAGAGGAAAAAAGGAACATGATTTGTAGGGGCCTCTCTTTTCTGGGATGCATTTCTTTTACATGAAAGTTAAAAGCTGAAGTTTTCCGAATTTCTGGACGCAACGCCAAGCACATCTGTTTACTAGGCCATTCTATTTAGGGGAAGATTGATTATTGGCAGGTGAGGGTTAAGGGGGAGGCTTTAAACTGGCAGGAAGTCTATTCAGAGGACATGTTATATTACAGAAAGGTGATTTTGGTGTTAAGCCCCATTAGTGATACGAGTTTGAAGATAAATCCACAGGTGTACACTTCTAAATTAACTTATCAATAGATGCACACTCGGCATGCAATTAATGATTTCTTACCATGACTCTGGGATATCTCATAAGGGTCTAACCAGTTTTATTTTAAATTAATATAGCAGATGTTGCCTCTGACTTATATGGCCATACCACAAAATTGAACAGTAAACAAAACTCTCTATAATTCAGATATCTGTTTTGTTTATTAGGAATATTCTGTTATTGCTCAGAAAAATGGGACGATGCTCACATTGGTATATTTTGGGCATCTTTCATCAAGGGAATGGATTCAGAAGGATTTTCCTGAGCTCTTCAGACACGCCTGTTTCAGGCCTTTTCTGTGTTTTATGACGTGGACAAGTTGCATATAGTTATTAGTAGCCTTATTTGCAGCTGGGAAAAACCACAACACAAAGTAATAAGCTGCTGGTTCGGGGTTTCAGTTAATTGCAGCAATATAACTATTATCTAGCAACAGCAGTTTGTAGCTGAACTGAAGATGTGGACAATGCCAACAAATGCTGGAGGTGAAACTGAAGGGGACACAATGAAAGCAAAAATACACAAAGGCAGAGGAAACTCTACATCGGAGTCAATTGCTTAGTAACAGAAAATTCAATAATCATAGTGTTGTAACATGCTTGGATATGTGATAAAACAAGCCCCCTTGTTACCATGGCTCCCTTCTCGTGCAAAAGTGTCTAGGCTTGCTCATGGGTTTATTATCCAGATGAAACTCAACATCTTTATTTTACTTTCAACCAGAGCCATCTGGGCTCTTCTGGTTCCCAAACTCTGCTTCCCCCGCCAGTCACTAGCCTTGTGTGAGAATTTAATTACTATTACATGAACTGCGTAGACTAATTTTGGGAGAGTCTACCTTTTCCAATGAAGATTTCTTACCCAGGAACATGAT